ATCTCTGCTTTATCAGCTTCTTTGGGGGTCCCTAGGTGACCTTAGGGGGTCTTGTATGTGTTAATGTTAGTGAACTGCCAACCTGTGTACATGACACCGTTACTTTCCTGTTTGTTATTTTGCCTTGTCAAAGAAATTGTGTGTGTGTGTGTGTGTTTGTATATATACATATACAGTATATATATATATATATATATACACACACACACACACATCACACACATACATACACACACACTTATGCCACGGTAAACATTGTAAATTATAATACTGTATACCTAAAATGCATAAAAAACTATATTATCTATAACTGTAGGAAGCACATGGACAATGCTTTCAAATAAATTATACTACGTAAGAAAATCTGGTTAAAAATAATAGAGGGGGAACTTTTAAAACAAGGGAATTCAGAGTAGTCATTTGTGGCATTGGGTACAAATAGGCTGCCAGCATGCTGTAAAGCTATATTTAGAGAACAGGAGGTAGCTGATAATCTTCAAGTAAAGAAGAGGCAGCTAAATTATTGAAAAAGTATTTTTCCTATGCCAGTATTAAACACTAATCAAAAGATCTGAAAGCCATTCACAGTAGATGGAATACATAGCCTTAGTATTTTAGTTTTAACTTTTAGTATTGCTTGGTTATCATTTATAAAATGTTACTTTTCATTTATTGTATAATATTGTATTAAAATGGCTACCAGGGAGCTAGTGTACAAAGTGACTTTTATTTTGTTTTGTTTCTCATACTGATTTGTGAGGCAATGCAGTGTTTGAGTGTTGGATTTTACTGTATTATCTATTCCTATTATATTGCAATGTGATTGCATCTCAAATGCATTCCAAACTGACCTCAAATTAACCTTAACCACTTGAAGCCTGGCATGTTAAACCTCCTTCCTGTCCAGGTTATTTTTCAGTATTCAGCACGGAGGTAATTTGACTGGCATGTATTTAACCACTTGGAAGTCTGCTGTGTTAAACCCCCTTACTGTCCAGGCTGTTTTTCAGTATTCAGTGCTGCAGTATTTTGACTGACGTTTTTGTACTGAAATGAATTTCATACAATTTTTTGGGGACATATAGAGCTTTCTTTTGGGGATATTTAATCACCACTGGAATTTTTATTTTCTGCTATATTAAGGAAAAATTACCCAAAATGTTTTTAAAAAAACTGTTTCCCCTATAGAAAATTATAAACATTTATTATTACCCAATTTTTTGGTAAAATATAAAATACGGGGTCACGCCAGGTAAAAAGACACCAAACATGTCAAGCCTTAAAATTGTGCGAGCACGTGAAACCTCAAAAAACTACAATACCCAAAATTGGCTTCACCAGCTTCTCTCCAGTTAATGTAGCTGGGAATGACAGCTGAATGCAGAAGTGATGTATTATATTTTAGCATTATAATACATCAATTTATTTTTTTGCATTTAGAGAACAGGGAGGAGATCAGAGGGAAATTGCTTCCTTAACTCCCTCTGATCTCTGGCCACAGAGCTGCTGTGCTAGTACCAGGCCCGCACCGGGCACAGCGGAGCTCAGGGTCGGTGGCAGCGGTGGAGGGGGTGCACACCCACATGCATAATACAAGTAATTGGGCGGCTCTACAGAATGCTTGTAATTAAGCAGCTATCTGAGCAGTTTTCCCACTTGTGCGTGCGCTGGATGTTGCACATGAGTGGAGGCGGGGGAAGGACATTTTAAAATGCCCATCCGCATCTAGAAGGCTCCCGTTCAGCCATTTATGTATGACCGCTGGATGGGATGCAGTTGAAGAAGAACTCCGGGCACACATATTCTTAGCCCTTGCAGTGCATGGGCTGTACCTGTTTCCATTTAGCGATTAAAACAATAAAGGTATACCCACCTGAGCCTCAAAGCTGTTTGGCTGTTAGATAAGTCCCTGCAGTCTCGCTCCCCCTCCGTTCCAGCAGGCTAAGGTCCTGCGAGTCATCACATCCTATATAGTGTATAGGACCTGAGGACTCGAGGGACTTGCTGGTGTAGAGTTGGAGACAAGCTTCATATTGCATCTGGGAGATTTGTTTTTTTGTGGAGTCAAGGTTACTGGGTCAGGGTTGTGGGGAAGAGGCCCTTCTCCCCATCGGTTCCCCCTGGAAAAGCACCCTCCCAATGCCAAGGGCATAGGGCCTGGTATGGTGAGGGGGGGCGTTCGCTCATCCCCCCCTTTCCTGCCCTGCAAGGCTGCTGCCTGGATTAAGTGTCTGATATAGGATTTTAGGGGGAGCCTACTTTTTTTTTGCATGAGGTTCCCCTTAAAATTCCTATCAGACCTAAAGAGTCTGGTATTACTGCCAGGAAATAGCACGCTGTTTTTTTTATTATAATGTCTGTGAACAGTTAAACACTTTTGGGTATTCTGTGACAGCTGTCAGATTCTTTACATTTGGGATTGAAGTGTCTGCAAAAAAGCAGAAGCTGTTACAGACTAACACAGATCTCTCAGCTTCTTTCTTTATTTACATTTTATAACAATATTGTGTTACTTTGTTTTCAGGATACAATTAAATAAAAAGAGAAGCCAGAGAGTGGTAAATGACAGCTATCCCGCTTGTTGTGTTTCGTTCCGAATGAAATTCGCTGTTTCTGTAATTCGGAAATTCGGATACATCTGAAATGTTTGAATTACAGAAATTCGTATGAATTTTAATTCAGAGTAAAACAAATTGCACATGTCTAGTTCCCAGATCCATATCTCCTTTTCCTGTATAAATATATATCAGTGTCCTGTACACGATTCAGAACATCTTTCTAATGTTCCTGCATTGGAACAAGGTGGATGATGGGAAATGGGTAACTAAAAATGTATTAAACCTATACATATTAAAAAATATATTTATTACTTTTATTACAAGAGCATTCTTGTTATCTTTATGAGTATATATATCATCTGAAAAACTGATATTTAGTATATATGCTGAACAGTGCAACAGAAATTCACCCTTTAGTTAATTTACCTCATCTCAAGGTTAAATATTAAACATTTTAAATACATATTATTTAGATTATTTAAGGAAAGGGCAATAATGACAGTATGATAAATTGAAACTTGTTTTGTAAAGCCCTCTATTGTCATTATAATATTACATCCATTAAAACATTAATTTAACTGGATTTATGATGGGTATATCTCTGAAGTGAAGAAAAGTTGCAAACAAAGGTTATAAAAACAAACAATATTAAAAAGTACTTGATAAGTAACCTTTAGCCACATTTGCCCATCTAATTTCTCTAAATAGAACCCATCAAAGAAATGAGCAATACCAACTGGGGATATGATGATAAAAATGCACAAGCAATAATTAAATTCAACAAAACCAATATGTCAAAATGATCCATATATTTGATAGATATAGGTTAAATTCAATTTTTATTAATGAAAGTCTACCATAACCCATTCCACTTCTTACTCTCAAGCTCCTTATTGGTCAGTAAAGCCACCAGTCATGCTAAAGGACCAACAGGCAGGCCCAGCAGGTGGTAGAAGGCACAGCTAGTTCAACCTTTACAAGAACAATAGAAATCTGTATATAAATATTATCAACATAAATCTCTGGATTCACTGAATGTTTGGAAGTGTGGTTTTCACTGTAGGTAATCCTATTTATGCATTGTATCACATACTTAATTTACAAAGGCCAGATTTGTAATATGTTAATTTTAAAGATCTTAGGGGGTTATTCACAAAGCTGCTGAAGGCAGCTGAATGAATAACCAATGCAGCTGAAGTGAATGCTATTCGGCTATTTACTTCAGTCTTGTATGGGTCATTTCAGTCATACATTGGCTAAAAACAACTGTACATCGGCTGCCTTTGGTCATTCAGGCATTTAGCTCAGCTGTTCTGCTCGGTTCCTCTGAGGTACCGAGCAGAATAGAAAAGAAGTGAAAAGAATGAGAAAAAAAGTTGCAAAATTATTTTTAAAATTATAAAAAATAGGAAAATTTAAAAAATCAAAATATTTTAAAGAAAATAAAAATTTGGCAGAGCTATCAGTGACAGCTTGCTCCGCCCAATTGTTTCATATTGGCCAGCACCTTCCAGAGTCTTCTAGCAGGTCCCAGGCAATGAATAACTGGGCGACGCCCAGTTGTTATTGTTCAATGACAGATCAGCGTCCACAGGTCATTTGGGGAGGCTGATCTGTCATTACAACTGGTTGGAGCGAGCCGTGAGATCATGGCTGGCTCTGCCAGGCTGTCAATTGCGTGGAGTTGGGTCAGCTTTGGCCGACCATTCTCCGCGCTTTGGGTGTCACTGCGGCTCAGCCGAGCCAAAGCATTTGCCCATACAGCAGCCTTTCGGTTTGACTGAACTGAAGGGCATAGGCGGCTGAAGCGAGCCGAAGGATCAGCCAAACCTATGGCTGGATCATTCGGCTCTTTAGTGAATAGTTCCCTTAGTCTTCTTACTCAGAATTGAAATCTATTCCTTGAAATCTATATAGTGACCTGTTTTTGATTCAGGCAAAGCCCAGTTGTTTCCCCTCCCCTAGTTTGGGGATCTGTGAAACCCCGTCTGCCTACCTGTTTGTAACTTGGGAGAAATAATCCCAAACACACCCATTGCATGTTCTTTCCTATTTCTCACATACACAAAGGCTGATGTTAAAGCATATTTTTTTAGAAATCCAATTAGTACAAACTTCGACCAACCTCCCATAAAAATGGTGAGAAAAATCAGACTAATGGAAAGCAGGTGATTTTAGGAAGTGGGTGAGCCAAGACCTCTACAGCTAGTCAAAAAGAAAAACATGTTCCCAGTATGCATCTCATGGTTTATTTTCACTTTTGCCTGGAGTGTATATTTAAATGACCTTGACACAAGCCAACACATTTTTCTTTTACTTTATAAGAAAATATGCCCAGTTGGCCTTTTTACATTTCCTGTTTCTTTGAAATGTAGGGTTCCAGAACCACTAAGTTACATTAAAACCCACTTTTACCTAAAGTAAACAAGTAACAATATTTACCCGTCGCACATCTTTGCCAAACGTCTCACTGTAGCTTGTTCCAAGAATTTCAAATTGCACATGTGGATTGGAGCCATCGTCCCTAAACTCCATAATTCCAGTTAATCCTGTTATACGACCCTGAAGAAACAAAATTTACAAAGAGAAAAATTAGAGAAAGCATTTCTTAAGTATTGAAATGTAATTGCCTGCAAAAAAGGTTGGTGATCTGTGACTTGGCTTTTTTATTTACTTTAGGATGTAATTGAATTAGAGGCACATTTTATATCCGTAAAAGCAGAGACTGTGCAGCAAACATTGCCTTTGAAACAACATTTTTCTGCCTGTTTATTATAGCAGGGTTTACAAATCATTACAAGTATTTGAAGCTTATTAAGGACCTATAGGTGGAAAGAATATGCTACTGAAAAATGTCACTAATAACAACGGCTTACAAAGTAGAAACATTGGAGGTATATTGAGAGGAAATCTTCTAATTACTGGTGTGGATGTAAATAAATGTGTTAAACTATTTCAAAGATATAGAAAATGAACATGGCCATAAACAGCCAGCAAATAAATTCCCAGATGTATTTAAATATCAAAATAAAAGGGCTTAAAATGAAAAAGCACATTAACCTATGCGTGGTGTAGAATATCAAAGATGAATAGAAGACTCAAGAGGAAAGAAGCAGAACAAATGAGGAAGAGAAAAAAACTAGGACATTAAAACCATGCTTCATTCCTCCTGAAAAGTTATAGAATTAAAAATAATTGTCTCATCTATACCTGCATGCCTTTGGTATGTCAGAGTAAAGTTAAAACAAAGTGTTGAAATAGAAATTATTGCTTATTGTATAAGGACATTCTAAAATGGCCTGGACAGATTTTTTTGGTACCCCTAAAAAAGAATTATAACTGATCGGATCATAGTGACATTTTAACTGTTTTCTGTAATTAGTATAACATGTGTCTTCAATCTTGTATTCAGTCAGACTATTCAAATGGTAAACACTGGGGTTGTGCACAACACTAGACATGGACCAGAGAAAGCAAAATAAAAAGTTGCCTGAGGAGATCAGCAAGAAAAATAGATAGATTAGCATGTTAAAGCAAAGGTGATACGTGCATCTTTAAGCAGATTGATGTTCCTGTGACTACAGTTGCAAATATTAAGTTTATGTTCCATGGATGGGAGAGTTAAAACAAATCCGCTGAACAGAAGTATGGTGTGAATGACTAAGAGCCAAGGAAAGCTTCCACAGAGATACCAGCTGAACTTCAAGGTCAAAGTACATCAATGTCTGATCACACCAGCTTCTGCTTTTTGAGTGGCAGTGGGCTCAAAGATTCCACTGTTAAAATGAAAACAAAGCCAGTGTGGAACTTACTAGCATGCATATTGACAAGCCACAATACATTTGGGAGAATGTCATTTGGACAGATGAGACAAAACTGGAGCTTTTTTGTGGCAGGTCACTTTAGCTCTATGTTCACTGATGAAAAAAATGAAGTTTTCAAAGAAAAGAACATTGGGGGGAATTTATGAAAATTGGAGCAGACAGAATCTGGAGCAGTTGCCCATAGTAACCAAACAGCTTCTCTTTTCAGTTTGTTCAGTTTTGTTTAAGTTTTGAAAATTACAGAGAGTAGCTGATTGGTTGTCATGGGTAACTTCTCTGGAGTATTCTCCAGTTTTGATAAATTCCCCTCACTGTTTTGTTTTAATTGGATATGTTTTGGGGCTGTTTTGCTGTGTCTGGCACAGGGTGCATTGAGTCTTTTCAGGGTCCAATGAAATCTCAAGACTATCAAAGAATTGTGGAGTAAAATGTACTGCTGCCCAGTGTCAGAAAACACAGTCTTAGCCATAGGTTATGGGTCCTCCAACAAGATAATGACCAAAAACACACAACTAAAAGTACCTAAGAGGTTGTGCAACAAACAAAATAAGGTTAAGGGTCCTATCAATTTTGTACTTGCCTTCTTCATTTGTTTTATTATTTAAAATAATGAAAAGCAAAGTATGATTTGTATTAAACATAAATAATGATGGAGGCAAATTACTCTGATCAAATGCTAAATGTTTTATGGGGGGCATCCAAAATGATACAAAATGTGAGGTAATCAATATATAGGTTGTCCCTCATGAAAGTAATTTTTCCACAACAAATATAAACCAGCCTCACAATTTGTCCAAAGCTCCAGCAGAGCAGATTTCTCATGATCATGGACAGTTTGACTGTCTCCTGCAGCACTGCATAAGCATGGGTATTTCCACTTTATGAAAAAAACAGCTGCAGGCTGCCACTTCATACATTGTGTGGGGATGGAGAGGGAAGGAAGGAATAGAGTGCGTTAGGCAGTGTGTTAGGCAGGCAAGTGAATACATTTACTCGATACTTTGTACAGATGGCAAAGCTGATAATATATAGTCATGCTGACAAACAGTCTTTGGAAAATTAGAACAAGTGCATGAGTGTTCCAGTTGAATTTCTCTTTCATACTGATTGAGCCTTTCATTATTTGAGACTAAGAAAGCACTCACTGAGGAAACAATTGGCTGTTTATGCATTAAAATCTCAATTTCTTTTAAAACACAGTTAATGCTACATTTGTGGCACTATTTGCAGGTTTCACTGCTCTAGAAGGAGAAAGCCTTGGAAATTAAAGCAGCTAAATGTTATCAGAATTTGGTCACTAATAAAGGAAAATTAAGTCCTATTTGGCTCCTGTTTCTCCAAGACAGAGCTTCAGGTCAAAATTGCATCAAAATAACCCAAACTTACGAGAGGGATGTGTGATTATGCGCCATAACTTTTCTGCAAAATGTGATATAGCAATGAGAATGGTGCTACACCAATCATTATAAATCTATATTTTTATTGATACCAATAACATAACTTTCCATTCATTTATTGGTTTTTCATTTACCGACATTTGTGACATTTACGGATCCTCTGTGTGAAGGACAAACACTGGAGTGATTGTCTGATCACTTCAATGTTTGTACATAACTGGGGACACATAGGTGAGTCAACTGTCTCTAGGCACAAGTGGACTTGTTTTAAGTCACAAAACCCCCCGCTGCACTGAATTCCCATATATAGGCATAATTGGTGACAGAACAGCAGCTCAATTACATACTGGGCATGCTCTGGCCAGTAGTTCATCCTTGCTACTCAAAAGTCAAGGGGGTCCATCCATTCTGATACTTTCAACATCGTCCCTTGACCACAGGGGAGGTCAGGCAGCCTAAGTTCTGCATACTAAAGGAGGACATAAAAGCCTTGCTTAGACAGCCACCGATACCGCTGCTTCTCCTTTCACCAAAAGGATGAGCCAAGCCACATTGGCCTGCACAGCACATCTCCCTAAAGTTTCATTTTTTGCTCCCTTACTGATGGCAAGATGAGCTCAGGCATTTTCACCTTGTAACATGGATTTAAAAGGATGGCCAACCAGTAATGGTCCCTATCATTGATGGCCCAAATCCTGGGGTCCTTGTGCATGCACTGCAGTATAAATGAGGCCATCTGCCACAATTTTCTGGAGGCAGAAGAACCAAAGTCCTCTGGGTTTCTGAGTTTAACATTGTCATCAATTCTCTCTCCCCACCCATGCACAATTCCCAAGCTTAGGGAGGGGTGAAGCATACCCCTGGAAACCTGCACCATGCCCCCCTCAATACTAGCACTCCAGTCCACCTCCTTCTGCTTCTCCTGTCTCTGGGGCTGCCACACCGGGACAGAGTAAGGATAAAACAAGACCTGAGACACCAGAAAGTCCTCCTCTTTCTCCTGCTGCCGTGCCTCAAGTGCCCAGTATTACACCACAGTGTTTGCTCCACCACATCATGTTGATGATCTCTGCCTCATTGCTGCTTACTACTTTGGTTACCTCTGATGATTACGTGGTTCACATGTTCTAAAATGGGAGCCATGTACATGATGAAAAAACCTCAGATCCCCAGCCTGTCCTTGTGCCATACTAGCATAATGACTCATTGACAGTCTGCTAATACAAGGCCAGCCACTGCAGCATGGCCAAGGCAGAGTTCCAGCATGTGGGCATATCACATATCAGGTGATTTGCAGACAGGATAAGTTGCTGCTGAATTTCAGCCAGACAAACGCTGACTTTTGTGGGGAAAAAATATTGTCAGGTACCTGCCTATATAGTATAGCACAAGCTGTAAATGGGGGGGGGGCACTCCACCATCTCAAATGGGAGCAGCTGTAAGGCTAACAAGCTAACTTCACCCGGGGGTGCAGGCCACACCCGGGTGAAACCAAGTCTGGTGACACCCGGACTCGGGATGCACCTGCTTCTTCAAGGATACAGCTGGAGGTAGTAGTGTGGGGTTTGGAGATTTAGAGTGAGGTAGAAACCTATACTTGCCCCTATTCTGTGTGGCCCTATTCTGATCTTCTTCCCCAGTGGAAGGAAAGTTACAAGGACAGCATACCGAGATACAGCGCTCGAGCAGGGGGGTCCTATACAGTATAATACTGGAACATTTTCAACTGGAAGAACTCTGGTAGAGAATACACCCCACCCTCATTATTGTCACTCATAATTACCCCATCTGACCACATAGCAGACCTAACTTGGGATGAATCCACTGCCAAATACATTAAGAACCCTCAAAAAACAAAGGCAAAGCCCAACCAGTCAAACACCGACAACATCCCCCCAGACCCAACTACTATTACTCCTGTTTCTCCCCCTACACTCGTGCCCACAATCTCCCAAGAGACCCACGAGACTCCTAATCATCAGGACACAGACCATGACCATCCCACTGCCCTCCAACCCAGGCTGAGCCCACATGTCCTTCCGACAGCTGTACCAAGCGGGCATACTTCACTAGAACCAGTTATTAACTCAGAGCTCGCAACACCCTTAGTCATAGAATCAGAACATTTTTTAGAGATTGGCCATTTGCGCCCACAAAAAAGAAAAAAACCCGAAGAGGAACTAGGGGAGGAACACGTACCCAGGGGCATCACAAAAAAAGAACGATCACACCAGCACAATCCTCAGTCAGAATCTTCAACCTCTCAGACCACACCCTGACCGCACATGAAACAACACTACTCAACAAAGGTCTGAACTTCGCACCTGATATCAGACCCAAT